CAGCCCCGGGCGGGAGTAACCGAGGGCGCCCGGCTGCGGAGGGCGGGAGGGCTTTCCTGTGGGACAGATGTTTCGGCTTCCTGGCCGGAGACGAGTTGCTGGCTCAGTTTAATATCTAACGTCTTCAAAGCCTGCTTCATCGCAACTCTGAGCTGATGCTTGCTGCCGGTGTTTCTGCTATTCACAGGCTCCAGATCCGGTGAAGTTGCTGCCTAAGCTTTCTCATAGATCCTCTTGGTAGCACTATTGCATCGGAAAACGGAGTTCAGGTCCGCTGTATCTTTCTTTCATCTTTTCAAGACCTGGCAAGAAGACGGCACCCTGCGTAAGCCCAGGCCTCCCCCGGTTCGGAGGACATGGCTTCGGGCATTGGGTCTCCGTCGCCGTGCTCAGGGGGAAGCGACGACGATGAGATGGAGGTCCTGTTGAACAGCACTATCCCCCAACACCCAGGTATGGAGGGCCTGCAGGACATGCATGTGGAATGGGTTCAACATGTGAAATACATGATGTGCTGAGGAATGTTTTGTTTGGTTTTTTTCACTACCAGCCACGCACATGTTTTTGATTTTGGTATCTGAGTCCTAGGGTTACTTCAAAGTGTGAGGCTTGTGGCTTTGTGTCAAGGTGGAGCTGACTTTGTTCCAAGCTGTTGCAGGTTGTCAGGGCCTGTGCTTTGAGGAGGTACGAGGGTTGGAGGCAGAGTGTCCGATTCTGATGGGGTACCAAAATGCCTGCAAGTTTCGTATTTTGTGAATGGGGATGGGAGAAAGGTAGTGTGTGAAAGGGCAGGATGCCTGGCTCGCTTGCATCTGGGAACTCAGACCGGCTGACGTCCAGAGCAAACTGCCCTGGGCTGTTGCGTGACCCACTTTCTTTCATCACCACACCCAGTTATTGAGATTTGTTGTGGTTCTTGCTCCATGCTGCTTGCTCACCTTTGCTTTTCTTGTCATTTTTGTACCTTGCCTTTTCCCGTGTGTTTGCATCCTCATTATCACCATGAGACTTGAGTTAGAGCCCTGGGTACTCTTTCTGTTCTGGGTTTTTTGTTGTTGCTGCTGCTGTTGTTGATGACTTGCTCTGAGGACCTACATCTGGATTCTCTGCTTCCTGGTGAAGAGGAATAATCTATATCCTGATGCGCAACGCTGGAAGACAAGCTTGAGTTTTCCCACTAACTCATGCTGCAGTGTTGTAGTGTCATATAAGAGAAATGTTGCAACTGGAAAGGGAAAACGGTGTTGTGGGCTTTTTGGTCTTTTGTGTCTTTGTCATTTTTTTTCTTAAGCTTTGACTCTAGGGTTATCTGGCACCTCTGAAGTCTTAGGCAGAAGGGCACTGTCACTAAGCCTCATGAGGAAAAATTGTTAAAATCCTTGCAAACTGGAGAGCTTTAGGGAGCACATTGGAAAGGATGGGGCACCAGAGGCTCTAAATCAGAACTTGGGGAAGAAGAAGAGGTGGGATCCCTGAAGGACCCAGTGTTGCAGGACCACGGGAGCAAAGAGACCTCCATCATTTGGGAATACAGCAGCGGCCAGGTGCGGGACCCCAGGTTCTGAGAGCTCTGCCTCTGCCGCTTCGTGCCTGGCTGCCGTAGCCCCCTCTAACCAGTGGCTTCACAAAGGGAAGGGCTGCCAGGCCACCCCGGCCCCTCGGGCTGCCCCAGGGAAGGGGGCCGCAGGGGCCGAAGCCTGCGGTGGCAGGGAGCCGGCCTGCATTCCGCTGGCCAGGCAGTGAGCTTGCTGACTGTTGGTGCAGAGGGAAGGTTGTCTTAAATCCGGGTCAGAATAGGGTTGCCGAGTAACAGCTTTCCTATGGAGGAGGACAAGTAGTGGCTTACTGGCTCGTGGTTTGCAAGTGGCTGTAGGATGCTCTGTTCTGCTGAAGAGGCTAGCTAGTTGTGGGTGTCTTTGCTGGAGACCCGTGGGCTTGAAACAGTATCCTAGTCGAGTTCTCAAATGTATTCACCGTTTTGTCTCCTTTAGATGTGGCTATCTAGTCTGTGCTTTTTCCTCTTCTCTCTGGGTTGTGGCAAACTTCTGGTTCCCAAGATCCAAGTACAACTCTGCTTGGGGAAGGAATATTGTAGAAATAGGTGGTGCTGGGGGGAGGGGGAAAACCGTGTGTGGTGGTAACTTATGATATGATTACCTAGTATCTGTCCTGAACAGTAACAGAGTAAGCAGTTGTAAACACTTCTATGTTTGTAAGTATGTAGCAAGAAATAGATGAGTGGTCCCTGTGAGGAGTGGACTATGCTGTAGTGCACAGATGGGGTTTCAATGACGTATCACCTCTTCCCCTCCAGAGCCTGAAGAAGAGCCAGAAGACGAGCTTCTGTCAGAGGCTGACACACCCAAAATCAAGAAAAAAAAGAAGCCCAAGAAGCTAAAGGAACCCAAAGTGCCCAAGCTCAGCAAGCGTCAGAAGAAGGAGGTAAGGAAAAGGATGCCTAAGGTCACATTCTAAAATACGGATATGTGGGGTAAGGGTACTTACCGTTGTTGTTGGCCTTATGGCAGCAATTCTTTGTATGAACCCTCTAGAGCTTGGGGAGACTGGTGTTTAGTGCTTATCCAGGGTATTTTCTCACAGCTGCCTGATCTTCTCTCTCCCTCCCCAGCTGGGGGACAGTTCTGGTGAGGGGAACGAGTTTGTGGAGGAAGAGGAGGAGGTCCTGCGCTCTGACAGTGAAGGCAGTGACTACACTCCTGGGAAGAAGAAAAAGAAGAAATTAGGGCCCAAGAAGGAAAAGAAAAACAAAGTTAAGCGCAAGGAGGAGGAGGAAGAAGAGGAAGAAGATGATGACTCAAAGGTGAGAAGCTACCTTGCTGACTGACTGCTCCTCATTCCCATGTATCTGATTTTTGGGAATCGTTGTGCTCTGCATTTGTGATGGCACACAGAGCTGGGGCTGTTCAGTCTCCTCTTCCTCCACTAGACCTGCTTGACTTGATGATTCTCCCACCTTGCATTCCTTCCCGTCTTCTGCCTTAAACGCACCTAGAATGTATGCTGAATTCAAAGACTTTTCCCACTTCCACTAATGTTCTAGTGAGGCTGTGTCCTATGGCAGTGATAAGTGGGGGGGGGGTGTGGAGGTGGAGAGAAGTCCCCTAGTCCTGACCCATTGGGTCATCTCTAGATGTGTGGAAGGTCTGCTCTTTCCCAGAACAGAACTACTAGAGCTTTTTCTCAAAGTTGCTGCGATTCTCTTTGCACAGGAGCCGAAGTCATCTGCTCAGCTCCTGGAAGACTGGGGGATGGAGGATATTGATCATATCTTCACAGAGGAGGATTACCGCACTCTCACCAACTACAAAGCTTTCAGCCAATTTGTCAGGTGAACTGCAAGCCTGCACTGGGAAGGACCCTGGAGCATGAAAAAAGAGATGGGACAAGGACCAGGTTCCATGTTTTTGGAACCTCGAGTCACATTAAAGACATTAATGTCCTACCTAGAGCAAAAACTGAAGCAACAGTAGAATAATTGATACACGTCGTTGTTTTCAGTGATGGAGGTGGTGCAAGTCCCCAGTCCCCTTTCTTCCTTAGCATGCTAAATTTCATTTCACTTTCCAAGCCCCTGAGCATTTGCATCCTCCACACAGTGAAGGATGGGAGTATAGAGATTCATTGGCTGTTGAGATCGGAGATTAGAGAGGAGTGCAGTTTGAGATAGAGGTGCTGATGGGGGTGGCGGCGGGGAGGAATGATGATCTAGATTTCAGGGTGGTTTGGTAACTCTTTCTTCCTTAACTGTATGCAGGCCACTTATTGCAGCCAAGAACCCTAAAATAGCAGTGTCGAAGATGATGATGGTACTGGGAGCCAAATGGAGGGAGTTTAGCACAAACAACCCCTTCAAGGGAAGTTCCGGTGCTTCTGTGGCAGCTGCTGCAGCTGCAGCTGTTGCAGTAGTGGAGAGTATGGTGACAAATGTGGATGCTGTCCTGCCGCAGCCCCCTGTAGATGTGCCACTCAGGAAAGCTAAGACAAAGGAGGGCAAAGGTGAGACAAAGAATCTGGCAGGGTGGTAGAGGGTGAGTGGTGTCAAGGCAGTAGTCCTTTTGACTTGCAGGCTCCTCTGTTCCCAGGACCCAATGCCCGGCGGAAGCCAAAAGCCAGTCCTCGTATTCCTGATATCAAGAAACCTAAAACAAAGAAGGTGGCACCTTTGAAAATCAAACTGGGTGGATTTGGTTCCAAGCGTAAAAGATCATCAGTAAGTGATGCTCCTTCCTTGACCTTCTGAGGAGGAGGTGATGATGTGCTAGAAGTGCTGGGGTGCGTGTCTGATTGCTGCCCCCAGCATGTGTGCCTGAGTAGCATAGCTTTTTTTTTTGCATACGTCAGAGTGAAGACGATGATCTGGATGTGGAGTCAGACTTCGATGATGCCAGCATCAACAGCTACTCTGTTTCAGATGGGTCTACGAGCCGTAGTAGCCGCAGTCGCAAAAAACTCAAAGCTGGGAAAAAGAAAAAGAAAGGTATTGTTGCTCGCTATCAGTTGGAGACAGGAGCAGAGCTAAGTGTGTAGAAAGACTACAGAAATGTCTGAGCAAAATTTGGATGTTTAGCAGCATACCTGAGGGAGGAAAATTGTTTGCGGAGGAGAACCGGATATTATTGTTGATAAGGAAAAGGCTTTCAGGAGTTCTTTTTCACCTCGGTAGGGGAACAGACACAGTGCTGAGTTTTCCTGGCCTCAACACTACACCTTTAATGGGTGGAAGGAGGCACAAAGGGGCTCCAGCTCTTGCTCCCTGCCCTGTCTACTTACACAGATAGAGCAAGGGTTTTGGCTGTTGGGAGAGTACCCTCCCTTGCTGTAGCAAGCCTGTGGCTTGTCCTGCTGTAACTCCTCACCACCCTCTGCAGGTGAGGAGGACTCCACAGTGGCTGTGGATGGCTATGAGACTGATCACCAGGACTACTGTGAGGTGTGCCAGCAGGGAGGGGAAATTATACTGTGTGATACCTGCCCTCGTGCCTACCACATGGTTTGCCTGGACCCAGACATGGAGAAAGCCCCAGAGGGAAAATGGAGCTGCCCACACTGTGTGAGTACTGGATTCCTTGAAACTGTGCAGGGGATCATGGAGGGGGACGACCAGTGACTTGAGGCTGCTCTTCTGCTGTAATAAAATAATCACAAATGCGTAACTTGGTTTTTCTGGTTTCCCTCTCGTATAGGAAAAAGAAGGCATTCAGTGGGAAGCAAAGGAGGATAACTCTGAAGGTGAGGAAATCCTGGAGGATGTTGTGGGGGATGCTGAGGAAGAGGATGACCACCATATGGAGTTCTGTAGAGTCTGCAAGGATGGAGGAGAGCTGCTGTGCTGTGATGCCTGTCCTTCATCCTATCACATCCACTGTCTGAATTCCCCATTGCCAGAGATTCCCAATGGAGAGTGGCTGTGTCCTCGCTGCACTGTGAGTTTCTGCTACTTCCATTCTCCTATTGCTACAAGAGGCGATTGACCTAATCCCTTTGGATCATTGTATTTTCCTGGAAACGCTTAGGCCTCCAAAGGCTCTGTCTCCTCTCACGCTGCTGTCATAAAACATCGAGGCCTGGCTTTTTGTGGCTGGGTTGCACCTTGTCGTTTGGCCGCTTTCTCCAGACAGCGGAAAGGACAGGGTTACAGCCACTGAGTCTCCTGAGGTTTGCCCATGTGCAGAGTAGTGGGGCAGTTTTGGGTCCAGGATGCCAAGCCTCAATTTTCTTGGATCCTGTATGTATGTAGAAGTAGGAGAATGAGTGCAAGCAAATTCAGTGCTTAAATAAATATTTTAAACTGATGCTGAGCCAAGCTGGTGGTGTTTTGCACTGCAGGCTCTGTAATGCCAAGCCCATTCTTCGGTGTTTGGGAGAGATGTCGCGCTTCTCCAGGAAGTTCTTGAAATGAAGTATTATAAATGGTGTTAGGTGATAAGGACTTTTAAGATGACTAACAAAAAAGCTGCTTTGGGACATATCCCTATGCTGGGCCGATAGTTCTACAGCAAAATATTTTCTCTACAGACTTTCACTGGAGTTGCGGTTGGATAGACTACTGGGCTTGTCAAGCCTAGCAATTTCTGTATTTCATATAGAATTTCTGAATTGATGTGGCCCTGGGGAGACAACTAAATTGAGGTGCTGAGTTCAGTTTGGCGTTTGTCAGGCCTAGGAAAAACGACAAACTGGAGAAAGCTCAAAGAAATGCTGGTGATAAGAGGGTGAAAGCTTCCAAGTCCAAAAAGCCAATTCCATCCGTGTACTGAAGCCATAACTAAGGAAGAGAACTGTAACTATGTTTCTGCTCCTCAGTGGTTGTGTGTTAGAGTGTGCACACTCTGATGTAACAAGCTCTGTTTAACTTTTCAGTGCCCATCTTTGAAAGGAAAGGTGCAGAAGATCTTGATCTGGAAATGGGGTCAGCCTCCCATTGGCCCCCCACCACCACGTCCACCTGATGCAGACCCCAATGCTCCTCCCCCTAAGCCTCTGGAGGGTCGGCCTGAAAGGCAGTTCTTTGTCAAATGGCAGGGCATGTCCTACTGGCACTGCTCTTGGGTGTCAGAGTTGCAGGTGAGTGGAGGACTCTAACTGTTTCATAAGGATGCGGATAGTTGGGAGGAAAACACCTGCTAACTGCTGCTGTCCTGACTCCAGCTGGAGCTGCACTGCCAGGTCATGTTTCATAACTACCAACACAAAAATGATATGGATGAGCCACCCTCAGGGGACTTTGGAGGGGAAGAGGAGAAAAGCCGAAAGAGAAAAAACAAGGACCCCAAATATGCTGAGATGGAGGAACGTTTCTATCGATACGGGATCAAGCCTGAGTGGATGATGATCCACAGGATCCTTAATCACAGGTAGGGGGAGGCTGCAAGGAGAATTTTCAACAAAGACCTTAAGCAGGGCTAAGGGAGAGTAGATGATCTAAACTGCAATATGACTGGGGGAAACAGTGGGAGTTCTGTTGTTGGTGTGGCAAACATTGTTGTTCTGCTTCTGTTGCTTCATTAAGGGATCCTTTCCTCCTCTCCCATTTGAGTGGATTGAGTGAATACTGTCATTTCACTGTGCTTAAGACTTACTGGTTTCTTCCGCAGTGTGGATAAGAAGGGGAATGTCCACTATTTGATTAAATGGAGAGACCTGCCCTATGACCAGGCATCCTGGGAAAGTGAAGATGTGGATATCCAAGATTATGACCTCTACAAGCAAGCCTACTGGAATCACAGGTAAGACAAGCGTCTAGAGGTTGTGTTCCTTTCCTTTCCCTTCCCTCAAGAGAATTTACTGGAGTATGTCAGCCCCTAGCACTGGCTGGATTAGTATATGGAGATAGCCAAGAAGCATCTTGTTGCTGACTCCTTATTGCTTTGGGCAGGGACCTTGTGCCTCTCCACCAGTTCATGAAGGTTCTAGCCCTGTTTCTTGAGCCCATTTGAGTTGGGCATTTGCCCTCTCCTATTCTTTGCAGTAGTTTTCCCTTGATCTATTTCAAAAGCCATTAAACTTGCACATTTTTGGGACTGTCTCTCCATAGAGAGCTGATGAGAGGTGAAGAGGGCAGGCCTGGTAAGAAGTTAAAGAAAGTGAAGATGCGGAAACTGGAAAGGCCTCCCGAGACCCCCACAGTAGATGTAAGTTACTGTTTATTGCTTAGGAGCCATCTGTTACAGCTGCTTATTTTGAGGGGGGAGGCAGGTAAATAGGAAACTGAAGAGTGAAGAGCATATGGTGTAGAGTTCTTTCCTAGCCTGGAGGGTGAATGGGTCATAGAGCCTTCAGACAAAAGCACCCCTTGTCCATTGGGTGAGACACTGGCTGGCTCTTGGTGAAAGGGTTTTGCGAAAAAAAAAAAAAAAGCTTTGGCCATTTGGGACTTTTGTCTGGTGCTAGTCTGGTCATCATCTGTGAAGTCTCATCTGCACTGGGGAATGTATGGGTGACTGGGAAGGAAGTCTTCGTAGCTGTCTAGCAAAGGTGAAGGATCTCAACTCTTCCTTCTTTGCGCTGTAGCCAACAGTGAAATATGACCGGCAACCAGAGTACCTCGATGTAACAGGGGGAACCTTGCATCCCTACCAACTGGAAGGATTGAACTGGCTGCGATTCTCTTGGGCCCAGGGCACAGATACAATCTTGGCTGATGAAATGGGTCTGGGAAAGACTGTGCAGACAGCTGTATTCCTATACTCCTTGTACAAAGAGGTGAGAGCTGGAAGATCACTACCCAGGGAGATTCTGCCTGTGTTAGTGACTGCATTCATTTAATGCTCTTACTGACTCTATTTGTAGGGCCACTCAAAGGGTCCCTTCTTGGTGAGTGCCCCACTGTCCACAATCATCAACTGGGAAAGAGAATTTGAGATGTGGGCCCCAGATATGTATGTAGTGACCTACGTCGGGGACAAAGATGGCCGGGCTATCATCCGTGAGAATGAGTTCACTTTTGAGGATAACGCCATACGTGGAGGCAAAAAAGCATCCAGAATGAAGGTACAGAACTCTGCCGCAACGCAAGCCAGAACTGAAAGAGGAGGTGCACTAGACTGGCTTTCAGCAGCTGAGATTCAGATACTCTGATGTTCCTGGGAACTGATTACACTTATAGTTTCCAAGGGGAAATAACTACAGATTGATGACTAGTGGGCATTTAGACTCCTGCTCTAGACTGTTTAAACACTCCTACTAGTCTGAACTAATTCAATACTGAAAAAAGAAAGAGCGTTGACTAAGATAATGCTGACCGTAGGCAAGTCTCTCTGTCTCTTCTACTTAATCTGTGTGGTTGTGCATCATTTCTGCACATCTAAGTCAATGTCAGAATTGCCTTTGTATGAAAAAGACAAAACATACAAAAAAAGTATGAACTTCTTAATGTCTCTGACAAGCTGGCTCACAGTGAGGCCATACCTAGACATCTGAGAAATTGCAATCTGTGCCCAGACAGGAAGGAAGGGCCTGAGTTAGGTGGCTAGTTTTTGCAGACCTTCAGCCTTTCTGGTAAAAGCTAAAGCTTTACCAGTGGCAAAGATAGATAGGACTCCTTTGCTTCCCTTGAAATTGAACTGCATTAAGTACTAACGGTAACTTAAAGTTCCACAATAAACTACTTGCCTTTTTAAATCTTGGCTTTTTGATGAGCCACTCTTCTTCAAATCTCATTTCCCTAACATGCCTTTATTTGCTGTTTTGTTGTTAAACTTCTCTGTTGCAATGTTTGGCAAC